AAAAAGCCAGGAGATCTTGAATCTATTATCGGAAGATGCAAGGGACAGAAATACAATTGGTAAATAAATACATAGGAAAGAACATGCGAGGACCAACAGTCCAATCAGTTTTGGTGTCGAGATTTGTGCTGCTCATACTTTGCATTTTTTTGGTCCAGCTGTTTCTTATTTCATTTGGGAAAAATATTTCTCTCACTTGATTTTCTGGGGACAATCTGAGATATATAAAATCTTTGAAGACTGAAAATTAAAACTCATTTCTGAACTACGGAGGGGACGGATGGTGAAATATTATGTACCCTCAAGACACAGTGAAAGAGAAAAGCAGATGAAGAATCTCTCACCTACTCCAGGGAAAGAGAGTGAATTTAAAGAAACACCTTGTCCCTTACCCTTCAAGGGGGAACCTACCTTGTACCTTACCCTTCAAGGGGGAAACTCCATCATCATCATCATGTTTCTCCTGTCTTGGGAAAATATTCTTTCTGCTGTCCAATAGAGTCTTCTCTGTTGAAAGGAAATCGCATTGAACTCCCACTGAGAGGTTTCTGATCTGATTTAGCAGTCGAGGGTCCAAGCCATGGAATTTGGAAATGGAAAAGAAAAACAAAAAGGATAGGCAGAAATCTTGATGGATGAAGTTCTATTATGTGAGGAATAGCGGACACCTGTCCACTAGCAATGAAGGAGATTCTCAAACAATCTCTAGAATTGGGGCATATTTTCCCCAGCACCTGAATGGGTACAGAGACCATAAGCTTCCCGCCCCTACTTCACCATCACCAAGAGGAAATGCGGTCTCACCTTCAGCTCTTCTTGCCTTTTCTCCTCTGCCTGACTCAGGAGGAAGCCTTCGGCCAGGGCCACTGCCTGGGAACTGGTCTCTGCTCCACATTCCCTCAACCAGCCGGACATCTCCAAGGGGATGATGGCCAAGAACTGTTCCAGGATCACCAGGTCCAGGATCTGAGCTTTTGTGTGCCTTTCTGGCTTCAGCCACTGATGGCAAAGATGGTGGAGTCGGGCGCAAGCCTCTCGGGGACCCTCTGCCTCCTGGTATGAGAATCGACTGAAGTGCTGTTGCTGTCCATCTGATCTGACAATCTTCTCATCCAGGACTTTCTGCCTTTTTCTTTCTAATGATTTTGCACTCCTTTCAGTCTCGATAGCATAATGGTTCTTTTCTGCTGAAATGCCTGCTGAGTCTTCTACCTCCATCTTCAATCTATGCTCCAAGAAAACCTCCAAATGATTCCAAAGACGCCACCCCTGAAGTCTCTCTTAGGGCAAAGGCTGCACCATCAGGCCCTGCTGCTAACGCTCTGAAAGAGGAAGAAGATGTGCTGTTAATAAACAGTAGATGTGTGAAGACCAAATGTGGGAAATAGGTATCTATCCTAAAGGAAAAGGCAGGCAAATGTCAAGGACAAAAGAGAAATGAGAAACCCAGGAAATTTCCTTCCGTTGACACCAGCGCCTTTCCTTTACATGAGATGCAACAACTGGACCCACTTGATGGGTTTCTCTCCCATCCCTCATGATGGGTCATCCCTGAAAGCCCCAAGTCCTGCACCCTCTCCAGGATCCCTTCTGCTCTTGACTAGGCCTCCTCAAGCTTTCTTCTACAACAACAACAACAACAACAACTTACATGAGACAACTGGACCCACTTGATGGGTTTCTCTCCCATCCCTCATGATGGGTCATCCCTGAAAGCCCCAAGTCCTGCACCCTCTCCAGGATCCCTTCTGCTCTTGACTAGGCCTCGCCTCCTCTTCTTCTACAACAACAACAACAACAACAACAACAACAACAACAACAACAACAACAACAACAACTAGAAGCCCTGACTGACTTCTTTTGTGCTCCTGAACCCGCTCCCCATGACTTGAGGGTCATCCGCTCTGCATCAGGGACCTCCTGAATGATGGAGCCCACATCTTCTCTTTGAAAAGTTGAGGTCTTCTCCCCAACAGAAGGTGCTTTGTCTTTAAGGCATCTTCCTTTCCCAGCTATGTGAAGGTTTTTTGTGGATTCCTGACTTGCTTCCTCTGTGCTTCTGAATGCCTTGCCTATCTAAAGAAGGTGATTGGACTCTGCCTCTGGTGCCCTATGTGTGTCCCAGGGCCCCCTTCCCCATATGCAAAAGACCTTGGTTGGAAAGCCACAGGTCCCCCCCCCCTCAAGTCAAAGTCAGTGCTAGCAAAGCCTGGAGCTAGCACCCTGGGGGGGGGTGTCACCGGGGCCTTCATTGCTCACTAGGCATAGTGGCTGCTAAGCAACAGGCCTCTTTCGAACAAAATTCCAGGTCTTGATGCTTCATTTAGAAGGGACAGCTTTTTTTTCTTTTCTTTTTCAAAGGGTCGCTTGTCTGCAGGTGCGCCTGCCTGCGCTAAAGCTAACAAGGATCTGCTTTTTTGGGGGGGGGGGGCCGGTGAGTTTCTTCTGGGCGTC